GGCAGAGATCAGTCAGCTGTCATCAGTTAAAAGGATGATCATAACTCCACAAGCCAACAGACCCGTTATGGGCATTGTTCAAGATTCCCTGACCGCTGTTAATAAAATGACTAGAAGAGATTCGTTTATTGACAAGGTTTGTTTAGTATTTGACTGAATGGTTTAGGGATTTGTTATTTTTGATTCAGTGAATGACTGGGTGATTTTTTAATACATTTTTTTTATTTAACAAAATAAATTTTCAATCAAAACAAAATAGAAAAACATGATGGACCTTATCATGTACATACCACATTGGAATGGGAAAATACCTCAACCGGCGATTTTAAAACCCGAACCTCTCTGGACCGGCAAGCAACTTTTCTCCCTCATAATTCCCGGCCAGATAAACTGCATACGTACTCACAGCACGCATCCCGACGATGAAGACAGGGGACCGTACAAATGGATCTCACCCGGAGATACGAAGGTAATTGTTGAGAACGGACAGCTACTTAGTGGAATTCTGTGCAAGAAATCACTTGGACCTAGTTCTGGATCACTCCAGCATATTATCTACCACGAATTGGTAAGTTAACAAATGATGTGTTATGTGGTTGTATGTCGTGAAACTATATTGTGAATGTAATATTTAAGTTGAAATTGTTACTTGACCTCTTCTATTTCAAAAAAAATTATATAGGGACGCGAAGCAACAGGAGATTTTTACTCGCACGTACAAATGGTTACCAATCAGTGGCTTCTTACTGAGGGACACAGCATTGGTGTAGCAGACATTATTGCAGATTATAAGACATATATGGATATCCAATTAGCTGTCATGGAAGCCAAAGTAAGTAAAAAATATTTCATCTACTGATATTCATTCATTGAATATATTTCTGTCTAATTCAGTTTTATTTGCTATCTTCATCAAAATAAATTTTAATAACGAATTTTTAATACTATTCAAAACCGTATACACAAAAATATATAAACAAACAAAGTAAAACTTATAATACTTCATCAACAGGCCAATGTAGCTGATATTACCTATAAAGCTCAAAAGGGTGAGCTGGAACTAACTCCTGGTAACACTTTTATACAAACCTTTGAAAATCAGGTTGGTACAATTTAAGTTAAATTGAAGATGCTATGCTGTCATTTTGTTAATAGTTAATGTTTTTAAAATTTTTCTAATACATACAAACATTCTGATTTCAGGTTAATCGTATCTTGAATGATGCAAGAGACCAAACAGGCAGATTGGCTCAGGATTCTTTATCGGACTTTAACAACTTTAAAACAATGGTAGTTGCTGGATCAAAGGGGAATAGAATCAATATTTCACAAGTAAGTTTAACGACCAATCAAACATTTATTTGTTTGATATGTTTAAATATCTGATTGTATGGTTTCTACTATTCTCTTTCCACGTGTTTCAGATCATAGCCTGTGTAGGGCAACAAAATGTAGAGGGCAAACGTATCCAATTTAGTTTCCGTGATCGGACTCTTCCTCACTTCCTGAAAAACGATCATGGACCTGAAAGTCAAGGTTTCGTTGAAAATTCTTACCTGGCCGGAATTACGCCTACTGAATTTTACTTCCACGCGATGGGCGGTAGAGAAGGATTGATCGATACCGCTGTCAAAACTGCTGAAACTGGTAAGTGTGTTTGGTTTTCAGAAAACATTTTAATTCTTTCACGTCGTTCAATTGGCTTTCGTTATTGCTAGCGTTCCTAACGTTCTCTGAATTATTTCAGGTTACATTCAGCGCCGTCTCATCAAGGCCATGGAGAGCGTGATGGTCAAATACGACGGTACAGTGAGAAACCAAGCTGAGGAGCTCATCCAGTTGCGCTACGGAGAGGATGGTTTAGCGGGCGAGTGGGTGGAGTTCCAGAATCTGCCATCTCTCAAACCGTCTGACAAGGCATTTGAGAGAGAATTTAAATTTGACCTATTCAACGAAAAGTGAGTACATTGTATTTATTAACATAATTAATTATTTATATTTTCATCTCAAATAATCTATATATTGAAACGATTAACTGAATGAATAAACGTATTTAAATAACATCACCACAGGAAACTGAAGCGCTGTTTATATGAAGATGTCTTGAGAGATATGCATCGTGATGCAAACTTTTCATTCGAGATCGAACGGGAGTACGAACAACTGCTCGATGACCGCATGGCAGTCAGGCAGATATTTCCAAACGGAGAGAGTAGGGTTGTCCTTCCGTGCAATCTTCAACGAATGATTTGGAACGCACAAAAATTTTTCAAAATAAACCATAAGAGGCCATCAGACCTTAATCCTTTAAAAATTATAAAAGGTTAGTCGCAAAATGACAATTTTAATGGCATTAGAGCGTGTATGAATTAAAGTTTCGAAATTAAATTTCTATATATTTTTGTTC